GAGAACACATTTATTAAAAAGTCTATTTAATTAAGTAGAACATGTTGTTAAAGTTGCGCATTTTTATGTGACGTCACATTTCTCACCCCCCCCCCCTCGTCACACATCGTCACAAATGTCTGACCCCCCCCCCCCCCCAGGTGCGTGACGTCATTTATGGACGGCCCCTCATGGCACCTGAATCTGTCCCGTGACTTCTTGTACCTGGCCTGGCACAGCAGTTAACCCATGGCACCTGGGTCTGTCCCGTGACCTCCTGCACCTAGCCTGGCACATGAGTCAACTCATGGCACCTGAATCTGTCCCGTGACTTCTTGTACCTAGCCTGGCACAGCAGTCAACCCATGTCACCTGGGTCTGTCCCGTGACCTCCTGCACCTAGCCTGGCACATGAGTCAACCCATGTCACCTGGATCTGTCCCGTGACTTCTTGTACCTGGCCTGGCACAGCAGTCAACACATGGCACCTGGGTCTGTCCCGTGACCTCCTGCACCTAGCCTGGCACAGCAGTCAACCTGGGTCTGTCCCGTGACCTCCTGCCACGTGTAAGATGACGTACCAGCTGCACTCTCACTCCAGGGGTTAGAGTTCAGCTGGAACGTCATCCGCAATAACCACGTCTCAGCAGTGGTCTCTCTGGGCGAATCGGTGAGGTTCGGGAACTTGGCTCACCGCCACGCTATGCAGAGGCGTAGCTAGGGGGGGCAGGGGGGTACATGTCCCCGGGCGCCAAGGTAAAGGGGCGCCAACATGAGGCTTACAACGTGACATTTTAACTTATTGCGGCGGGCGCGGCAACCTGAAACTACTGCACAAATCTACACCTCAACCTAAACGTGTATGTATCCCGCCACACACAGCCTACTTGTCATGTAATTACATTTTGGTATGTGATTAAACGGGGGGGGGGGGGGGGGGGGGGGCGCCAATTTTATAGTTCGTCCCCGGGCGCAAAATATCCTAGCTACACCACGGACACTATGGCAGTTGATTTGCCTCCATCCAATATCTGTCTCTCCGTATAATAATATATGTTTTAAATGTTACATCCCATCAGCTACGCGGTTTTCCATCTAAGAGTCTTCTTATTGTCGTACGGCTGCTGATACAACTTCACATTTCAGGTGGCTGAAGCCAGATAACCGCAGCAGGAGCAGCGGAGTGGTGCATCGTCATCAACGCTGTGGTGATGTCTCCAACGCTTTTGGGGATCGAGGCATTGCGTCGTCACACGTTGTACTACGGTCTGTTCTGGACGGCCACAGTCGCACACTATTGAAGAGATTTTAAATTTTCTATTTGATCCTTATCGCGGTACCCCAGGGTACCAAATTATACAAAATGGCCGAGGCAATTAAATACTTTATTTCTGGGACACTATTTTTTTCAGGGGTGTACTTAACTCCGCGACTGGGGTACCAATCAATCCTGAATCAGTGCTACTCTGCGGTGTCAAAACGCAGCGAGGGCGATTGTGCCGAAACCCTGAACGCTCGCGGCACGCACCGTGGTGGTGCATCGTGTACAGCTCGTCCAGATGAGTTGATAGCCGCATCGCCGACCATCAACAGACTAAACATGACTGCATCACGGATATTATGCGAGAGCCGGGGTACCGCCATGAGGTTCATTTGTGAATCAGCTGGCATCCGCATCTGCTGCTGCTGCCGTGTTTTGTGCAGTGTGATGCGAGTCAGGGTGGATCACGTGCTTGGAGTGCATCTTGACAAGCAGCATAGGTTCAACACGAGCACAACTTCCGGGCCGGTTTCGACTTTCAGCGTCTCATCAGCGGTGACGTACGCTTCAACCGATGCTGGTGAAGGTGCCTCGCCTTTACGGTAACCGTAATATTTCCAGAATCAGAAGATGTATGTGTAGTGTAATAGCGCCGACTCCCTTTAAGAGTGTGCTCCTAATCTCAGCTCGTTACTTGTATAAAAGACACATGGGAGCCAGAAATCTTTCTGATTGAGAGGGTGTCAAATACTTATTTCCCTCATTAAAATGCAAATCAATGTATAACATTTTTGACATGCGTTTTTCTGGATTTTTTATTGTTATTCTGTCTCTCACTGTTCAAATAAACCTACCATTAAAATTATGGACTGGTCATTTCTTTGTCAGTGGGCAAACGTACAAAATCAGCAGGGGATCAAATACTTTTTTTCCCCTCACTGTATGAAGGCCGGCACGGCACACGAGGGGGTGGGTGGCCAGCACCACGCCCGGCCGCCTTTGTCTCCCCAGTCGCGAAGTTTACACACCGCGCCAGGTACTCATTTGATGCTGAGTCGTCCTAGAGGAGAACCTGGGTCGCCAGGTTCGTAGCGCAGCGTAGCGCGAACCGCTTACATACACACAGACACGCACACACAGACACAGACACGCACACACAGACACACACACAGACACGCACACACACACAGACACGCACACACAGACACGCACACATACACACAGACATGCACACACACCCAGACACGTCTGATTGCCGGGTTTATTTCAGACCAGTTTGATTAAATGCTGATGATGTTGCTGCTGCTGATGCTGATTCTGCTCTTGCGCCATGATGTCAGCAACACGTCCAGGAGGTCAACACGACCATGCGGAGGTCCCCTGCTGCTGCTGCTGCCGTGTTCACGCCGAGAGGGCGTCAGCAGAGAGAGAGATGGTGGTGGTGGTGATGGTGGTGGTGGTGATGGTGGTGGTGATGGTGGTGGTGGTGATGGTGGTGATGGTGGTGATGGTGGTGATGGTGGTGGTGGTGGTGATGGTGGTAGTGGTGATGGTGGTGGTGGTGGTGGTGGTGATGGTGGTGGTGGTGATGGTGGTGGTGGTGGTGGTGATGGTGGTGATGGTGGTGGTGGTGATGGTGGTGATGGTGGTGGTGATGGTGGTGGTGATGGTGGTGGTGGTCTCTATGGAGCTCTATGTATCTCTATGGGTCTCTATGTATCTCTACGGGTCTTTATATGTCTCTATGTATCTCTATGTATCTCTATAGGTCTCGATGTATCTCTATGGGTCTCTATGTATCTCTATGGGTATCTATGTATCTCTATATATCTATGTGTATTTTATGTATCTCTATAGGTCTCGATGTATCTCTATGGGTCTCTATAGGTTTGCTGTGTGTTCCACAATGTGGGGGGGGGGGGGGTCTTTAATGTATCTCCATGGATCTCTATAGTGATCTGTTGATTCTCTATGGGTTCTCTATGGGTATCTCAATAGGGCTCTATGTATATCTGTGGGTCTCTATATATCTCTATGGTCTCTATGTATCTCTATGGATCTCTACGTATCTCCATGGATCTCTACGGGTCTCTATGTATCTCGTTTAGGCTATGTGGGTCTCTGTATGTCGATGAGTCGGTGTGTGTATCTCTATCGGGCTTGATGTATTTCTCACTGTGATTTTCTGGGTCTCTATGAGTCGCAATGGGGCTCGATGTGTCTCTGTGTGTGTTCCATAGGTCTCTAAGCGTACCGATGTGTCTCTGTGTGTGTTCCATAGGTCTCTAAGCGTACCGATGTATCTCTGTGTGTGTTCCATAGGTCTCTAAGCGTACCGATGTGTCTCTGTGTGTGTTCCATAGGTCTCTAAGCGTACCGATGTATCTCTGTGTGTGTTCCATAGGTCTCTAAGCGTACCGATGTGTCTCTGTGTGTGTTCCATAGGTCTCTAAGCGTACCGATGTGTCTTTGTGTGTGTTCCATAGGTCTCTAAGCGTACCGATGTGTCTCTGTGTGGGTGAGTGAGTTAATGGTTCCAGTAGTCGTGAGTGAGTGGGTGACTGGGCTAGTGGGTGACTGAGTTGATGGTTCCACCAGTGATGAGTGAGTGGGCGAGTGAGTGGGCGAGTGAGTGGGCGGGCGAGTGGGCGGGCGAGTGGGCGGGCGAGTGGGCGAGCGAGTGGGCGAGCGAGTGGGCGAGTGAGTGGGCGAGTGAGTGGGCGAGTGATTGAGCTGACGGTTACAGTAGTTGTGAGTCGGTGACTGGGTTAGTTGATGAGTTCAGGCTCAGGTCACAGGTCACAGGGCAGGTCGGAGGTCAGAGTTAAAAGTCTGGATCTAGGAGTCGGGGTTAAGGGGTAATGAATGCCAGAGGTCAGAGTCGTAGTTATTGGTCTGGGTCATAGTTGCAGGTTAGGGTCTTGGCTAAAAGATCGGTGTCGTTACTAATGTTCAGGGCCTCTTTGTAGCTCAATGGGTGACTGCGTGAAGAGCCTATGGACCCCTGTCTAAGGGACCTATTGGACCCTGTAGCCCCCTGTGTGAGGAGCCTTGGGGCCTGTGTACGAGAAGTCCAATGGTGATTTAAAGCTTTCGTGACTGCAGGGATTCATATTCTTGGTTCTATCGGTAAAGTCACGTCGAAGGGAAATAATAAAATAATAACAATAAAACAAAAAAAATTCTCACGACGTGTCAACTGCAACACAAGCAATCATCATCAGGTGTGAAAGCCACGGCAAGAAAATTGGAAAAAGTGGCGGTTTTTCCTTTTTTCAAACTTTCTTGCCGTTGATTTCACACCTGATGACGATTGCTTGGGTTGCAGTCGAAACGTCGTGAAAATGTTTAATTATGTTTTATATTTTTATTATTTTATGATTTCCCTTCTACGTGACTTTAGCGGAAGAACCAAGAATATAAGTCCAATGGTCTCTATACATTCTGGCTCCCAGCTGTCCCGGTGTGACCCCGGGCTTGCGGCCTTGTGTTGGGACCGTGGTGGCAGAGGTCGCAACCGGGTACCCGGTACCCGTACCCTACCCGATACCCGGCTACCCGTACCCGGCCGGGTACGGGTAGCTGTTTGCGACCCTGGTGCGGCCGGGTACGGGTACGGGTACGATTAAGGAATCAAAACCCGTTTGCGACCTCTGCGTGGTGGTGATCGAGGTGGCACCTCCCCGCCCCCCATCCCCCCGCCCCCCATCCCCCCGCCCCCCATCCCCCCGCCCCCCATCCCCCCGCCCCCCCCCCCCCGCTAGGGTCGCGCCCCGCGCTGGGCCCGCGTCTCGCGCCCCCTCGCCGCGAGTCTCCGGCGCAGCTCCTGCGGCAGCCGCGAGAAGCAGCGCTTACACACGGGCCGGTGGTCCACCTCCACGAAGCGGGTCCTGAGGGGGGGGGGGGAAGAGGGGGGAGAGAGGGGGGGGTGATTGAACAGCAGAGATGGAAGTACAATGGACTGATATGCAAACAGCACTAAAACGTGGGCGTCTGGTCCACCTCCACAAAGTGGGTCCTGGGGGCGGGGGGGTTCAGGGGGGGAGGGGGGCTTCAGGGGGGGGGGCTTCAGGCTTCTGTGACGTCACCTGGCCAAACCCCATTTGGCAGAGCCAGGAGACAACGAAAAGCCACTGCGGGTGGCCACGTGGAATTTTAGAACGCTCACTGTGGAGGAGAGGCTGCCACTCCTCTGTCGGGAGCTGGACCGGTACTGCCTGGAGGTTCGGTGGACCGGCTCTGGCTCCTGCCACCATGAGGGGTGGTCAGTCTTCTACACGGGGCAGGAGACTGCCAAACCACAGGGAGTGGCTCTTCTTCTGAATCAACCAGAGGCGAGGAGTGGTAGTCGTGGTTACTTATGCCCTGACCGAAGATGAACAACAGTGGAGGGATGCAGGCAAGGCCAATGAGTCAAATGCCTTCTATGACCTCCTGTCACAGGTGCTAGCTAAAGTGGCCACTCGGGACAGAGTCATCGTGTTGGTTGATTTCAATGCCCGAGTTGGTCATGATGCTGGCACCTGGTGAGGAGTGATTGGAAGGCATGGACCAGATCAGCTCAATAACAACAGTAGGAGGCTGCTAGACTTTTGTGCAACCCATGGGCTTGTAATTACCAACACGCTGTTCTGGTGTTGGTGCATCCACACAATATCATGGATGCATGTTAGATCCAAGCAAACACATCTACTGCACTATATCGTGATGTAACAGCGGATGGAGGCCCATGTCTTTCACATCAGGACCTACCGTGGAGCTGATCTGCCCTCTGACCATCGACTTGTCATCTGTAAGATGCGTCTGCCTTTCTTCCACTCCGGTGGTGGGTGTACACCCAGGACCCCATTCAAACCCACAGTGGCCTGGTCTCAGCTAGCTGATGAAAGTTGCAAGCAAGAATGTCATCATCGCTTGCACCTGGGGTTGGCATCGTCCCCCACTCATCCTGCCGCTGAGGGAAAGTGGGCGAGGTTTAGGACTGTGGCTCATGCAGCTGCAATGGCTGCATTGGGTACATGGTTCAAACTTGCCCAGAGACCCTGGCTGACAGAGGAAGTGTTTAGGCTGGATGAGAAAACACCACACCAGAGAATGAGGAGGCTTACCGCAGCCTTCGCTCGGAGGTTTGAAAAGCCATGTGGTACTGCAAGGATTAGTGGTGGTCACGGTTTTCTGAGGGGATGGAGTCTGCCTCAGTAGCTCGCAATCACAAATCACTATTTAATTCCATCACAAAAGTAACTTGCAGCCCCTCACCTATCACCATCCTTGGGGGAAAGAAAGGTGGTCCGATCTCTGACTCCCAGGAACAGATCTGCAGGTTTGCAGAGCATTTCTGTGAGGCCTTAGCGGAAGGGAATTCCCTCAGCCCAGACAACATCATGGGGCAAGGTGGGAACGACCTTGCTGGGGCTGCAGTGCCTTGGATATTGGCAGAAGAAGCCACCGCACCCCACCCTGTGAGTGGCTGGCTGAGGTGCCATCTGTTGAGGAAGTCACGATGGGCGATCCGGAGTCTGAGACCAGTAAAAGCGCTGGGCAGAGATGGTCTCCCAAGCTCAGTGCTGAGGGAGGGCGGCGTCTGTGTGCACACTGCCCCACGTGGCATCATCACAAATGACGAAATGTGCAGTGGGACACCTAAGGGGCAATCTGCCCCATGGCTCGTGATGATGACAATGACGATGTTGGTACGTCACTGTGAGAGCCCCCGCCCCTTGCCCCCGCCCCTTGCCCCCGCCCCTTGCCCCCGCCCCTTGCCCCCCCCCTTGCCCCCCCTGCCCCCCCCTGCCCCCCCCCTGCCCCCCCCCCTTGCCCCCCCCTTGCCCCCCCCTTTGCCCCCCCCTTGCCCCCCCCCTTGCCCCACCCCCCTTGCCCCCCCCCCTTACCCCCCCTTGCCCCCCCCCTTGCCCCCCCCCCTTGCCCCCCCCTTGCCCCCCTTGCCCCCCCCCCGTCAGCGGTGTTTGTGTGACGGTGCGTGCGTGTGGAGGGCTCCTCACTTGGCGGAGAGCTTCGCGTGGCAGGCGGAGCAGCAGAAGCACGAGACGCACCACGTCTTGTTGAGCGCCGAGAGGACTGTGGCACAGGTGACGTCACAAGGTGAGCTCACTGTGGCACAGGTGACGTCACAAGGTGAGCTCACTGTGGCACAGGTGACGTCATAAGGTGAGTTCACTGTGGCACAGGTGACGTCACAAGGTGAGTTCACTGTGGCACAGGTGACGTCACAAGGTGAGTTCACTGTGGCACAGGTGACGTCACAAGGTGAGTTCACTGTGAAACAGGTGACGTCATAAGGTGAGTTCACTGTGGCACAGGTGACGTCACAAGGTGAGCTCACTGTGGCACAGGTGACGTCACAAGGTGAGCTCACTGTGGCACAGGTGACGTCACAAGGTGAGTTCACTGTGAAACAGGTGACGTCATGAGGTGAGTTCACTGTGGCACAGGTGACGTCACAAGGTGAGCTCACTGTGGCACAGGTGACGTCACAAGGTGAGCTCACTGTGGCACAGGTGACGTCACAAGGTGAGCTCACTGTGGCACAGGTGACGTCACAAGGTGAGCTCACTGTGGCACAGGTGACGTCACAAGGTGAGTTCACTGTGGCACAGGTGACGCCACAAGGTGAGCTCACTGTGGCACAGGTGACGTCACAAGGTGAGTTCACTGTGGCACAGGTGACGTCACAAGGTGAGTTCACTGTGGCACAAGTGACGTCACAAGGTGAGCTCACTGTGGCACAGGTGACGTCACAAGGTGAGCTCACTGTGGCACAGGTGACGTCACAAGGTGAGCTCACTGTGGCACAGGTGACGTCACAAGGTGAGTTCACTGTGGCACAGGTGACGTCACAAGGTGAGTTCACTGTGGCACAGGTGACGTCACAAGGTGAGTTCACTGTGGCACAGGTGATGTCACAAGGTGAGCTCACTGTGGCACAGGTGACGTCACAAGGTGAGCTCACTGTGGCACAGGTGACGTCACAAGGTGAGTTCACTGTGACAGGTGACGTCACAAGGTGAGCTCACTGTGGCACAGGTGGGTTGTTGACAAGGCGAGGTCATGACACATGAGAGTTATTCGCAAGGTGAGTTCACTGTGGCACAGGTAAGCACACTTCCAGATACAGTCGTACCTCGGTATAAGACCTCTTTGGAATACGTCGAATTTGGTCTACGTCGTGTTTTGACCATAAAAAATGTCTTGGGATACGACGCCTTGCTTGGGATATGACGTCTTGCTTGGGATACGACGTCTTGCTTGGGATACGACGCCTTGCTTGGGATACGACGTCTTGCTTGGGATACGACGTCTTGCTTGGGATACGACGTCTTGCTTGGGATACGACGTCTTGCTTGGGATACGACGTCCTGCTTGGGATACGACGTCTTGCTTGGGATACGACGTCTTGCTTGGGATACGACGTCCTGCTTGGGATACGACGCCTTGCTTGGGATACGACGTCTTGCTTGGGATACGACGCCTTGCTTGGGATACGACGTCTTGCTTGGGATACGACGTCTTGCTTGGGATACGACGCCTTGCTTGGGATACGACGCCTTGCTTGAGATACGACGTCTTTCTTGGGATACGACGTCTTGCTTGGGATACGACGTCTTGCTTGGGATACGACGTCTTGCTTGGGATACGACCTCTTGCTTGGGATACGACATCTTGCTTGGGATACGACGCCTTGCTTGGGATACGACGCCTTGCTTGAGATACAACGCCTTGCTTGGGATACGACGTCTTGCTTGGGATACAACGCCTTGCTTGGGATACGACGCCTTGCTTGAGATACGACGTCTTGCTCGGGATACAACGCCTTGCTTGGGATACGACGCCTTGCTTGGGATACAACGCCTTGCTTGGGATACGACGCCTTGCTTGGGATACGACGCCTTGCTTGGGATACGACGCCTTGCTTGAGATACAACGTCTTTCTTAGGATACGACGTCTTGCTTGGGATACGACGTCTTGCTTGGGATACGACGCCTTGCTTGAGATACGACGTCTTTCTTAGGATACGACGTCTTGCTTGAGATACGACGTCTTGCTTGGGATACGACGCCTTGCTTGAGATACGACGTCTTTCTTGGGATACGACGTCTTGCTTGGGATACGACGTCTTGCTTGGGATACGACGTCTTGCTTGGGATACGACCTCTTGCTTGGGATACGATGCCTTGCTTGGGATACGACGCCTTGCTTGGGATACAACGCCTTGCTTGGGATACAACGCCTTGCTTGGGATACGACCTCTTGCTTGGGATACGACGCCTTGCTTGGGATACGATGCCTTGCTTGGGATACAACGCCTTGCTTGGGATACAACGCCTTGCTTGGGATACAACGCCTTGCTTGGGATACGACGCCTTGCTTGGGATACGACATCTTGCTTGGGATACGACGCCTTGCTTGGGATACGACCTTTTGCTTGGGATACGACACCTTGCTTGGGATACGACGTCTTGCTTGGGATACGACGCCTTGCTTGGGATACGACGTCTTGCTTGGGATACGACGTCTTGCTTGGGATACGACGTCTTGCTTGGGATACGACGTCTTGCTTGGGATACGACGTCTTGCTTGGGATACGACCTCTTGCTTGGGATATGACATCTTGCTTGGGATACGACGCCTTGCTTGGGATACGACGTCTTGCTTGGGATACAACGCCTTGCTTGGGATACGACGCCTTGCTTGGGATACAACGCCTTGCTTGGGATACAACGCCTTGCTTGGGATACAACGCCTTGCTTGGGATACAACGCCTTGCTTGGGATACGACGCCTTGCTTGGGATACAACGCCTTGCTTGGGATACGACGTCTTGCTTGGGATACGACGCCTTGCTTGGGATACGACGCCTTGCTTGGGATACGACATCTTGCTTGGGATACGACATCTTGCTTGGGATACAACGCCTTGCTTGGGATACAACGCCTTGCTTGGGATACGACGCCTTGCTTGGGATACGACGCCTTGCTTGGGATACGACGTCTTGCTTGGGATACGACGCCTTGCTTGGGATACGATGCCTTGCTTGGGATACGACGTCTTGCTTGGGATACGACGCCTTGCTTGGGATACAACATCTTGCTTGGGATACGACGTCTTCTTGGGATACAACGTCTTGCTTGGGATACGATGTCTTGCTTGGGGTACGACGTCTTGCTTGAGATACGACGTCTTGCTTGGGATATGACGTCTTGCTTGGGATACGACGTCTTGCTTGGGATACGACGTCTTGCTTGGGATACGACGTCTTCTTGGGATACGACGTCTTGCTTGGGTTACGACGTCTTGCTTGGGATACGACGTCTTGCTTGAGATACGACGTCTTGCTTGGGATACGACGTCTTGCTTGGGATACGACGTCTTGCTTGGGATACGACGTCTTGCTTGGGATACGACGTCTTGCTTGAGATACGACACCTTGCTTGGGATACGACGCCTTGCTTGGGATACGACGTCTTGCTTGGGATACGACACCTTGCTTGGGATACGACGTCTTGCTTGGGATACGACGTCTTGCTTGAGATACGACACCTTGCTTGGGATACGACATCTTGCTTGGGATACGACGTCTTGCTTGGGATACGACGCCTTGCTTGGGATACGACGTCTTGCTTGGGATACGACGCCTTTCTTGGGATGAGACGCGCTTGCTAGAACTTGTATATGTCGGGATGAGTCACCGTGTACAGTACCCGCGTATACTCCACCCCCAATAAACAAGCCGTAACAGTATTGTGTGGAATGGCCAGACAATGTCACACTTCGGCACCATTCTTAGAAGAAGGCGAAAACAAACTTCGATGGACAGGTTTTAGTAAAACTCAAACCTGGTGAGCCTCAACCAGGTCCAAGTCAAGGAAAAAAAAGACAGAAAAGAGAAAAAGATAAAAAAAAACCCACAGAATTTCAGCTTTAGAAGTGTTAATGGAGGGTGACTCTCCTTCAAAGAAATAACATCTCCTCCTCCTCCTCCCCTTCCTCACCACCATCCTCGTAGGCTGTCAACTCCTCTCGGAAATGGTGGTGGTAGTGGTGGTGATGATGATGATGGTAGTGATGGTGGTAGTGATGTTGGTGTTGATGTTGGTAGTGATGGTGATAGTTGTGATGGCGGTGGTGGTGTTAATGGTGATGGTGGTGATAATGATGATGGTGATGATAGTTGTGGTGGTGATGGTAGTCATGGTGGTGGTGGTGGTGGTGATGATGGTAATGATGGTGGTAGTGATGGTGGTGGTGATGATGGTAGTGATGGTGGTGATGATGGTGGTGGTGATGGTGGTAGTGGTGATGATGGTGGTAGTGGTGATGATGGTGGTGGTAGTGATGGTGGTGGTGATGGTGATGTTGGTAGTGATGGTGGTGATGATGGTGGTGGTGATGTTGGTAGTGATGGTGGTGATGATGGTGGTGGTGATGTTGATGGTGGTGGTGATATTGGTAGTGATGATTGTGATGGTGAAGGATGATGATGGTAGTGATGATAGTAGTGATGTTGGTAGTGATGGTGGTAATGGTAGTGATGGTGGTGATGGTGGTAGTGATGATGATGGTGATGATGATGGTGGTGATGTTGGTGGTGGTGGTGATGATGGTAGTGATGGTGATGTTGGTGGTGATGGTGGTAGTGATGGTGGTAGTGGTGATGATGGTGGTGGTGATGTTGGTAGTGATGGTGGTGATGTTGGTAATGATGGTAGTGGTGATGTTGGTAGTGATGGTGGTGGTGATGTTGGTAATGA